GCAGCAGCAGCAGCAGCAGGTTGCATATCCCCTCTAACCTGCCGCGTGGCTATGCGTATACGCCAGGCCAAGCCAATAGAAAGGGGGAGCCGGTGGGGGGGTGTTTCTGCATCTGATGAAATGGGGTCGTCTTCGTTGCTGCCTTTTTCTGCTGCTGCTGCTGCTGCTGCTGCTGCTGATACTTCTAGGCTTGCTGCCCAGCACTGCAGCACGTGCTGCAGGTCTCCAAGAGCAGCAGCAATGAGCTGCAGAAACTCCTCTTGTGCTGCTGCTGCAGCAGCAGCAGCAGCAGCATAACCACCAGAGGCCAAGTCGAGACAGCGCAGCAGAGGCAGCCGCGTGTAGTCGCAACCCAGCAGGTTGCTGTAGTATGCAACTGTTTGCTGCTGCTGCTGCTGCTGCTGCTGCTGCCGAAGCAGAAGCTGCTGCCGATCCTCCATTGCTCTGTGAACGGAATGAAACAAAAAAAACAAAAGGGCAAACAACAGCAATAAGAACGTACAGCAGCAGCAGCAGCAGCAGCAGCATCAAAACAGCAGCAGCAACAGCAGCAGCAAGAACAGCAGCAGCAGCAGCAGCAACACCAGTAGCAGCATCACAAGCAACAGCAGCAGCAGAAGGCAGCACTTGAGGAGAGCAGCAGCAACAAAGGCAGCGAGAGGCAGTATAGCAGCACAGCAGCGTGTTTTAGGGTTTAGGGTTTAGGGTGAGGGTTTAGGGTTTAGGGTTTGTCGCGGCGCTGCTGCTGCAGTTGCTGCTGACATACTGCTGCAGCAGCAGTTGCTTCTCCTCCCTAGCTTGTTCTAGCTGCTGCTGCTGCTGCTTCATCTTCTCTTCTTGCTGCTGCTGCAGCTGCTCGTAATGTTTTCGCTGTTCTGCATACTCTGCAGCCTGCTGCTGCTGCTGCTGCTGAGCTTCTTCGTGCTGCTGCTGCAGCAACTGAATCGTGGCCTCGAGTTGCTGCTGCTGCTGCTGCTGCTGCTGCCTCTCTTCAAATGCCTCCAAGTGAAGCCGCTCGTTCTCCTCTATCTTCAGCTGCAGCTCCTCCCGCATCACCTACACCCAGCAGCAGCAAACGCAGCAGCAAGAGCAGCAACTAGTGCAGCAGCAAGTGCAGCAGCAAGAGCAGCAGCAAGTGCAGCAGCAAGTGCAGCAGCAGCAGCAGCAGCAACTTCTTCTAGCCTGAGTAAGCTGTCTATGTTAAATTTCTTCTGCTTCTCCTGCTGCACTCTTTTCTATCGCTATCGTACAAGGCAGCAGCAGCAGCAGCAGCAGCGCAGCAGCAGCAGCAGCAGCGCAGCAGCAGCAGCAGCAGCACAGCAGCAGCAGCACAGCAGCAGCAGCAAATTCACAGCCTGGGTTCGCAGCAGCAGAGATAGAGTTAAAGCAAAGAACAGCAGCAGCACAGCAGCAGCACAGCAGCAGCACAGCAGCAGCAAGAGTACCTCTATCTGCTGCTGCAGCGCCTTGAGCTCTGCCTCTTTTGCTGCTGCACTGCCGCCCCCCAGCAGCGACAGCCCCCAGCTGCTGCCTGGGTTGCCTCCCCCAGTAGTGTTAGCTGCTCCCGCTTTGAGCAGCAGCAGATGCTGCTGCTGCAGTTGCTGCTGCTGCTGCTGCAGCTGCTGCTGCTGCCGCTTCAACTCACGCTGCGCCGTATCCAAATCATCCAGCAGCTGCCGCTGCCTGAACTCCCCTAGAGCTACTTGCTGCTGCAGCTGGCTCACAAGACCCTGGGGTTCTTCTTGCTGCTGCTGCTGCTGCTGCTGCTGCTGCTGATCCTGCTCCTGTCCCTGCTGCTGCTGCTGCTGCTGCTGCTGCTGTTTCTGCTGCTGCCGCAGCGCCTCCTTCAGCAGCGCGTTCTGCTTCTTTAGCTGACGATACTTCTGGCTGAGGCGTTCTACTGCTTCCCAATCATGAGCAGCAGCAGCTGCAGGTTGAGAGCATTCTGCTGCTGCTGCTGCTTCTGCTGCTGCAGCTCCTGTCTCTGCTGCTGCTGGCCTCCTCACGTCATCTGCTGCAGCAGGTGGTGTTGATACAGCAGCAGGAGAGGGGCTGGTTGCTGCTGGGGTTTCGCTTAAACGCT